TCAGAGATGATTACAGTGCTGGTCTTCTCTTTCTCTTTACCCACAAGTAAAGAAAACAAATCATAAAACACTGTGTTTTATCTCTTTAAAATTCACAGCTTTAGGCTGGGAATGTGGCTCAGTAGTAGGGTGCTTGTCTAGCATGCATGAAGCCCTGGGTTTGATTGCTCAGTACCACATAAAGAGAAAAAGCCGGAAGTGGTGCTGTGGCTCAAGTGGTAGAGTGCTAGCCTTGAGCTGAAGAGCTGAGGAACAGCACCCAGGCCCAGAGTTCAGGCCCCACGACCCAAAAAAAAAAAAAAAAAAAAGATTTGAGGAAAAGTGAGGGACATAGAAATGGAAATACTTTTGTAAAATATGCTTGCTAGTGCTAAGAATGTAGCTTAGTGGTAAAGTGCTTGACTAGAGTGCATGAGGCCCTGACTTTGATTCCTCAGTACCACAGAAATAAAACTTTAAAAATATGCTTGCTAATAAAAATAGCTTGAATACAGAAAGCAGACTATAAAATATTAGCAAGAACCTTATACATTGGATAATTATTTTGTTAGACTAAAATCAAATATCAAAAATAACACTATCAACACTATAATGAGATTTTGCTGTATACATTCTAGGATAACTATAAACAAAAAGACAAATGATGGGGCTGGGAAGATGGCTCAGTGGTAGAGTGCTTGCCTTGCATGCATGAGGCCCTGGGTTCAATTCTACAGCAACACATAAGCAGAAAAAGCCAGAAGTGGTGCTGTGGCTCAAGTGGTAGAGTGCTAGCCTTGAGCTGAAGAGCTGAGGAACAGCACCCAGGCCCAGAGTTCAGGCCCCACGACTTACAAAAAAAAAAAAAAGAATGTTGGCAAGAATGTGGAGAAATCAGAATTCTCCTACACTGCTGGTGGGAATATAAACTGGTATGGATTTTTTGTTTTTGTTTTGTTTGTCAGTCATGGGCTTGAACTTTGGGCCTAGATGCTGTCCCTGAATTCTTCAGCTCAAGGTGAGTGTTCTACCACTTAAGCCACTGTGCCACTTCTGGTTTCCTAGTGGTTAATTGGAGATAAGAGTATCACGGGGGCTAGGAAGGTGGCTCAGTGGTAGAGTGCTTGCCTTGCATGCATGAGGCCCTGGGTTCGATTCCTCAGCACCACATAAGCAAAAAAAAAAGCCGAAAGTGGTGCTGTGGCTCAGGTGGTAGAGCGCTAGCCTTGAGCTGAAGAGCTGAGGAACAGCACCCAGGCCCAGAGTTCAGGCCCCACGACCGGACCAAAAAAAAAAAAAAAAAAAGAGTATCACGGGCAGGCCGGACTGACTTTGAACTGTGATCCTCAGACCTCAGCCTCTTGAGTAGCTAGGATTATAGGCATGAGCCACCAGCGCTTGGCTTGGTAAAGTTTTTGGTTTTGTTTTGTTTTCTTTTTGTCAGTCGTGGGGCTTGAACTCTGGGCCTGGGAGCTGTCCCTCAGCTCTTCAGTTCAAGGTGAGCTCTCTACCACTTGTTGCTACAGTGACACTTCCTTGGTAAAGTTTTTAATGAAAGTATTTGATAATTCCTCAAAATGTTAAAACAAGTTGGGAGCTAATGGCTCAAATCTATAATCCTACCTATTCAGGAAGCTAAGATCTGTGGATTCTGGTTATAAGCTAGCCAGGAAGGAAAGTTGTGAACCTCTTATCTCCAGTTATTACCAAAAAGCAAGAAGTAGAGCTACAACTCAAGTGGTAGAGTGCTAGCCTTCAGCAAAAAAATGCTCAGGGACAGTACCTAGGCTCTGAGTTCAAGACTCAGGTCTAATACAATATAAAATTTTAACAAAGGGTTTGGCGTAGGTGGCTCAAATCCTGTAATCATAGCTATTCAAGAGGTTGAGATCTGAGAATCACTGTTCAAAGCCAGCCAAGGCAGGAAAGTCTGTGAGACCCTTAGCTCCAATAAACCACCAGAAAACTGCAAGTGGCGCTGTGGGCTTAAGTGGTCGAGCACTCACTTTGAGCTGAAGAGCTGAAGGACAGCACCCAGGCCCAGGGTTCAGGCCCCAAAACCGACAAAAAAAATTTTTTTTAAAGGGTGAACAAATGCAGCAGAGGTATTCACTAGATGCTATGTTGAAAATGAACCATACAACTTGTGGGTGAAGACAGGAGGGAAAAACAGGAAGAGAGAGGGGGTGACATTGTCCAAAAAAAAAATGTACTCATTACCTGACTTACATAGCCATAACTCTTCTGCATATCACCTTTATAACAATTAAAGAATAAAAATTAAAAAGAAAAGGAGAAATGAAGTATAGAAACAGACCACAATATAGATAAATTAAGCAAAGCTATAGAAACAGAAAGGGGACTAATGCAGCTACCACTTGAGTACAGCTCCACTTCCAGATTTTTGTTTAGTTTAATGGAGATAAGAGTCTCACAGACTTTCCTACCCAGGTTGGCTCTGAACCTCAATCTCAGATCTCAGCTTCCTGAGTGGCTAGGATTAAGATGTGAGCGACCAGGCACTAGGCTCAAAACTATAAAGAATCTAATTTGTTGCCAGATTCTGATGGCTTATGCCTATAATTCTAGTTACTCAGAAGGCTAAGAAGACACAATTTTTTTTTTTAAAGCAGCACCAGCAGCAGATGCCTGAACAGTGGGCTATTTCAATTACTTTCTTTTTCTTTTCTTTCTTTCTTTTTTTTGGGGGGGGGTCCGGTCATGGGGCCTGAACTCTGGGCCTGGGTGCTGTTCTTCAGCTCTTCAGCTCAAGGCTAGCACTCTACCACTTGAGCCACAGCGCCACTTGCGGCTTTTTTTTTTTTTTTCTGCTTATGTGGTGCTGAGGAATCAAACTCAGGGCCTCATGCATGCAAGGCAAACGCTCTACCACTGAGCCACCTTCCCAGCCCTACTTTTCATTTTTTAAACCAAACACACATATAAGAAACAGTAAGCAAGGGGTCAAAACTTACAAACATATACAAACATACTGAGAATAACTAACTGCCCATCTACTTCTGTATATACACTTATGTATATATTTTATAGTGGAAAAAGGAGATAGTATGTTTGGTTTTGGACCTAATGAACCAGCAGAAAGTGCAGAACTATTGCTCATGACATGAAAGCTAAAGAAAAAAGTTTGGAAATAGCATATAGATGAGAATTCTCAAGGTGAGTCTGTGAAATACATAGGTGATAGCAAAGACCAAGAGGCTGGCAAAAGGGGAGAGTCAACTAAGATGAAAAGTAACCAAAGGAACAAGTTTTACTAATTCCCTTTCCTTCTCCTATCGGCACAAAAGATAAAACTAACTTTTAAAAATGAAGAACAGGGGCTGGGAAGGTGGCTCAGTGGTAGAGCACTTGCCTTGCATGCATGAGCCCCTGGGTTCGATTCCTCAGCACCACATAAGCAAAAAGAAAAAAGCCGGAAGTGGCGCTGTGGCTCAAGTGGTAGAGCGCTAGCCTTGAGCTGAAGAGCTGAGGGATAGTACCCAGGCCCAGAGTTCAGGCCCCATGACTGGACCCCAAAAAAAAAAAAATGAAGAACAATTACTATCTTTCTCTAGTATCTTACTATATAGTCCAGAGGCAGGTCCAGATAAGAATACAGGGGTACTCTTTAAGTGGAGAGTTTAAAGTATTTTTTGCATAGTACTCCATATTAAGATTAAAAAAATAGCAATCACTCATATGAAAAATTCAAGTTAACAGGGGAAATATCTCCCTCCTGTTTGGCACCACCATTGCTATGTTCTAGGTACTATGCTAAACACAGTGTTACCTCATCTTCTTCTCATAAACATACTAAGTAGAAAGGAAACTGAGGCTACATGGAAACAGCAACTTGCTCAGGGTCACAAATACAACATGCGCAATAACTCATCTCTATTTTGTTGTTCGTTATACCTAAATAGACTTTATCATTATTCATCTTTTCTCCATTTGTGTGTGTGTGAGTTTCACTTGACTTTTCTGCTCAAGGCAAGAAGGTATTCTACTACTTGAGCTACACAACTCCAGTCTTGCTTTTTGAAGTTTTCTGTACAGGCTGGCTTCAAATGATGACCCTCAGATCTCAGCCTCCTGAGTAGCAAGGATTACATGAAATACCAGCACCAAGCTTATTATTCATCTTTATAGTGTATATTTATATACATTATATAATGTATATTTATGTGCTTCTGCCTCCCCTGAACTGAAAGCTTCTCAAGAGCAGAGCTGTTGTCCTGCATTATTTCATTCCCATAGCTAAAGAACAGTAAATATTTTGTTAAACTATGCATATGAAAGAACCAGGTGAGGAAAAATAAGGGGGGTAGGAGGCGTGACCCCGTGGTAGAGCATATTCCTAGCAAGCTCCCGGTCCTGACTTCAAACCCCAGTACTGCCAAAGAGAAGAAAGTCAGTAAGAGAGTTTCAAGAATAAACGGTCTCGAAAGATTCGGATAAAATCACCAGTATATTTTATCACTGGCATTCAACCCTTGTCCTTTTATCTAACGTCTACAATATGCAGAACAATGTCAATATCGTTAATACTAACAATATTGTTAGAAATATTAACAATGTTACAAACTCACAGGAACGTAAAATCTGGTTCATATCAAAAAGTTTTCAGGAAAGTAGCCAGCCTCATATAATTCTTGTTCAGGAAAGCAATCAAAAGCCAAGGCTACAAATGCCTATATCTTACTTGGCTTGGGTAAACCTGCCAGATAACTTAAAAGGGTCTCAGCACATCTTTTACGAAAACTTCTGAGGGAGGGCAACAGATAAAAAGGTGCTGGAGCAGCTGGGGATCGGAGGTGACAGTAAGGAGGCGAGGAGCAGAAATCCCCAGAAAACTTTCAAGGGAGTGCAACTGATAAAGAGGGGCCAGAGCATCTGGGGCTTGGAGATGACAGTCGGAGGAGAGGGAAGCACACTCCCGTGTGCCTGGTCCTTAACCCAGGTTGTGACTGCCCCCAGCTCGTCCCCTCTGTAGTCCCCGTGGAGAGGAAAACCATACTTACCGGAGAAGCACCACTAACGCCGTAGCCCTAAAAGGGCCGGGGAGTCCTTGACGAGGCCCCACACCGGAGGAGGAAACTCGGGAAAACTGGGAGCTGCCAGACAGGTTCGCCCCCACAACCTGACCTCCCCCAACTACATAAACTAGGGTCCCTGCGCCCAGCCCGCGAAGCCAACTCCCACCAGCTGGAAGACCGACGACTTGCCACCGAACCTTCCGCCCAATGAGGAGACGTCATCACTCGGCGTAGACCAGCCTTTCACGAAAAGATGCACTTCCGCTTCCGGGGCAAAGTGCTGCCTTTCTTGGGTTCGGCTTCTAAGTGCGTAGTTCTTTGCTTGCACTGGCTTCTGGCTTTCGTTTTCTATCCATGAATAATTGCAGCATGCAATTAGTAGGGAGACTGACTCTCTCTGGACGTAGTCTCGGGGTGGGGGGGGAAAGGCAGGGCTTGAGGAGCCACCTCCAGGAAAAGTGACAAACCCGAAGGAGGTGCTCGGGGGAACTCCGTCAGGGGCGGGGCTTAAGACATGCTGTCGAGGCCGGGTGGGCGGGCTTTGTGGGAGATGGGAATGGGTGAGTAAAATAAGCCGTGTCTGACTGCGCGTGCGCTGTGCAAACCTGCCCGCCGCTCTAGAGAGGGGGCGGGAGGGCGGTGGTGTCGGGTCCGATTGCGCGTGCGCACTGCAAACCTCCGGATCTGTTGGCTGGGGCGACATGGACTTTCGCTCGGCTCAGCGGGCAATCCTTCAGCTGCTCGGTTCTGTGGCTCCAGCCGACCGCACGGCGCTGCTCCAATGGATGCGAACTACCAGTAAGCATCACAGCCAGAGTCAGGCGGTGGGGACAAGGGCATTTCTTTGGGCAATGACGTCTGAGGACTTAGGCGGGGTGAAGCAAGTGGTCGCTATGCTGCTGGGCTGCTGGGCTGCGCTCTCCTGTGGGGTAGGTGGAGCGCAGCCCGCCTCAACTTGGGCGGCTCAGAGTGCCACTTAGGATGTCCTTGCAAACTTCGGACTGGCCCGGAGAACCTTCTGGACCCAAACCCCTTTTATGAATGCAGGAAAGGGGAAGATTTTTTTTTTTTTTGCCCTCCTCGCTGTTAGTCCCAAGAGCGGATCTTACCTGAAAATAAAACATCTTAAAGGTTTTAGGGTGTGCAGTTACCCTGCAGGTGAAATCACCTGTAGATTGGTGTAATTATTTTCTCGATGGTAAAAGGAACTGTTTAGTAGTATTTATCTCCCTTACTCCCGAAGGGAAGGTGAAAAGGAAAGAAAGATTTTGGTTTTTAAACTGTTAATGCAATACTAAATAATGAAAGCAAAGTTAGAATTGGGTGAGTGTGATAGATCTAGTTATTAAAGAGTGAGGTCGTTCAGTTCTGGCAAAGCGAAGCTTAGTGAGAGTACACAAAGTAAACATTCTCTTTTTGGTAACTACCTACTTATCTATCCTATAGCTCTCTATTTCTGAAGATTGATTCACGTGGTTACTTTTATTCAACTTGTTGCTTGAAATAACCTTGTTTACTGACAACTACTAATTTTACATTTTCAACCTTGTCCTCTACCATTGTGATGTTACAGTCAATTGGTAGGTATATGAATTATAGTAATAATTATTAAGCGTTCTAATTTATTTACTTTTGTTTTACCAGTTCTGGGGCTTGAACCAGGCCTGGGGCAAAACAAACAAACAAACAAAAAATGTTAACTAAGATACTAAATGAATGTGAGCTTCCAAATCTTATAGGACAGTTAATTCTGCAAACTATAAGAAACTCAGGGCTGGGAAGGTGACTCAGTGGTAGAGTGCTTGCCTTGCATGCATGAGGCCCTGGGTTCGATTCCTCAGCACCACATAAGCAAAAAGTAAAAAAAGCCAGAAGTGGCGCTGTGGCTCAGGTGGTAGAGCGCTAGCCTTGAGCTGAAGAGCTGAGGGACAGCGCCCAGGCCCTACGACTGGACCCCCCCCCCAAAAAAAAAAAAAAAGAAACTCAGTGAGTGCTGGCGGGCTCATACCTGTAATCATAGCTACTTGGGAGGCAGAGATTTGAGGATGGTGATTTGAAGTCACCCCAAGCAGGAAGAGTCTGAGATCCTTATGTACACTTAACGACAGAATGCCAGAAATGAGATATAGCTCAAGTGGTAGAGTGCTAGCCTTGAGCAAAGAACTCAGAGACAGCACCCAGGCCCTAAGTTCAAGCAAAGAAAGAAAGAAGAGAGAGAAAGGAAAGGAAGGAGAGAGAGAGAAAAGGAGTGAGGAGAAGGAAGGCAGGCAGGCAGGAAGGAAGGAAAAAGAAACCCAAGTTTTCAAAGTAGGAATTTCCAAAATATCTTGAGTCTTCCATCACCTCATTTAAATACTATCTTGGCTCTACACAATTGGTAGAGCCCTTGCCTAGCAAGCACAGCCCTGAGTTTAAACTCCAGTACCACCAAAAATAAACCCTTCATTGCTATTTTGGCAATCATATCCCAGTTGTAAAACAATACCAACTTCCATCTGGTTTTTCTACATTTCTCAATGGGAAGTCATTTTTTTCCAAAAACATAGATTGCCTTTGAAAATGTAGTAGTGCCTCTAGCTATTGCAGTTACTAAAATATCCTACCCCTCCAGAATATTTCACTCTTATGAAACCATTTAGTGTAAATTTTCAATTTTAGAGACATTGAGACTCTCATTTTTCAAAATCAGTATGATCTGAAAGTATGCTCTGAATGTTAACAAGAAGTTTATTACTTGCTAAAGAGTACATTTTTTTTTTAACTTTAAAAAATTTTTCTTACCAGGCACCAGTGGCTCAGGCCTGTAATCCTAGCTACTCAGGAGGCTGAGCTCTGAGGATTGTGGTTCAAAGCCAGCCCAGTCAGGAAAGTCCATGAGACTCTTCAATTAACCACCAGAAAACTGGAAGTGGTGCTGTGGCTCAGTGGTAGAGTGCTAGCCTTGAGCTGAAGAGCTTAGGGACAGTGCCCAGGCCCAGAGGTCAAGACCACAACTTACCAAAAAAAAAAATCTCGGGCTGAGAAGGTGGCTCAGTGGTAGAGTGCTAGCCTTGAGCTGAAGAGCTTAGGGACAGTGCCCAGGCCCAGAGGTCAAGACCACAACTTACCAAAAAAAAAAAATCTCGGGCTGAGAAGGTGGCTCAGTGGTAGAACGCTTGCGTTGCATGCATGAGGCCCTGGGTTCGATTCCTCAGCACCACATAAGCAAAAAGAAAAAAGCCAGAAGTGGTGCTGTGGCTCCAGTGGTAGAGCACTAGCCTTGATCTGAAGAGCTGAGGCCCAGTGCCCAGGCCCCAGAGTTCAGGCCCCACAACTGGACCCAAAAAAAAAAAAATCTTTTTACATCAGTGGTAAGGTTGTGGACACACTTCCAGTTAGTGATAGGATCAGGGTTTTGTTTAGAGTTAGGTATAGAGTATAGAGATAGAGTTATGGCTGTGTGTGTGTGTGTGTGTGTGTGTGTGTGTGTGTGTGTGTGTGTGTGTGTGTGTGTGTGTGTGTGTGTGTTGGTCCTAGGGCTTGAAATCAGGGCTTTGGATGCTGTCCCTGAGCTTTTTTGATAAGGCCATTGCTCTACCACTTGAGTTACTTCTCCACTTCTGGCTTTTTGGTGGTTAATTGGAGATAAGAGTCTCATGGAGGACTGGGAATGTGGCTTAATGGTAGACTGCTGTACTAGCATGCATAAAGCCCTGGGTTCAGTTCCTCAGTACCTCATAAACAGCAAAGGCCAGAAGTAACACTGTGGCTCAAGTTGTAAAGCGCTACCATTGAGCACTGAGTAGCTCAGGGACAGAGCTCAGGCCCTGAGTTCAAACCCCAGGACCTGGAAAAATAAATTAATAAATAGTCTCATGGACTTTACTACTCAGGCTAGCCTTGAACTGCCATCCTCAAATCTCAGCCTCCTGAGTAGGTAGGATCACAGGCCTGAGCCACCTGTCCCAGCTCATTTCTCTCTTTAATGACTTCTATTTCTTTGCTGAAATTTTCTGATTTTTTTACTTGTTACAAGAGAATTCATAAGTGCTATTGAAATATTGCTGCTCTAATATGCTAGAAGGCTCCTGAAACTATTTAAATCTTCTACCTCAGTAGGCAGTTTCTTTGCTTAAAGTTAACTTGTAGGTCTAGCTCCATTGATGGTGCAGTGTCAGTATGCTTACAGTGCTATTCACATCAGCTTCATTATTTGGAACTAGGGGACTGCTTGAGAGAAAGACATTTTCCCAAATCATCTTTTGTCACTAGCTGGTTTGCTTTCTGCTACTAGGCAGAAGGCTAGGAGATGCCAGGCACAAGTTTCTCTGTCCCTGGGTTGATCCACAGCGACTCCACCAGTGCCACACACACCCCATATTGCATGGCTGTGGACTGAGGAGTGTGGTTCCCTGGTAGTTTCTCTGTTGTTTTCCTTTTCCTGGTCTTTGGCCACATAAAGCAAGCTTTTCTTAGATAGTTTGCTTTTGTTTTTCCTGTTTAAGCTTGATGGGCTTTTGAATTCCAGGTGTCTCCAGGACTCCTCTAGATGACATTGTATATTTATTTTATATTTTTTTAATTTTTTGGGGGGGTCCGGTTGTGGGGCCTGAACTCTGGGCCTGGGCACTGTCCCTCAGCTCTTCAGCTCAAGGCTAGTGCTCTACCACTTGAGCCACAGTGCCACTTCCGGCTTTTTTTCTTTTTGCTTCTGTGGTGCTGAGGAATCGAACCCAGGACCTCATGCATGCAAGGCAAGCGCTCTACCACTGAGCCACCTTCCCAGCCCCGACATTGTATATTTAAAAAACAGAGCTTGCCTTAGTGTCCTTCCTCAAGTCCTGAATCCATAGACAGTTCACTCTTTTTTTTCCCCTAATTTTCAAGGATCTTTGTTGATGCCTATTATTTCTAGGACACTTGAATCTAGAGAACAGCCAAAAAAAAGTAAGGGAAATTATTCTCTTGTCTAGGACCTGAAGTCCTCTCAGGGCATTTTTAATTTGGATAAGGAATTGAGAGTAATATATGAGTAATAAGTAGACTATAACTCAGTGGTTAGTTATGCATTGTAGGTGGATAAAGTAGGATTTGGATTGGTGAAGGCTAGAGATCTAACCTAACAGAAAAGCAGGGACATATGGTGGAAAGGAACAGTATGAACTGGAAAGAATGTGATGAAAACCTGATATTTGCCTGTCTAAAAAAAAATTATTGGGACAAAGATAAAAACAAATGTTGAACCATGTACCAGTGACTCACACCTGTAATCCTACTCAGGAAGCTGAGGTCTGAGGATCATGATTCAAAGTCAGCCCAGGCAGAAAAGTCCTCGGGGAAACCCTTATCTCCAAAGAACCACTCAAAAGTTGGAAGAATACGTGTAACTGTGGCTCATGCCTAAAATCCTGCCTACTCAGGAGGCCGAGATCTGAGAATTGCTCTTCAAAGCCAGCCCTGGAAGGAAAGTTTGTGAGACTCTTATCTCCAATTAACCACCAGAAAACCAGAAGTGGCGCTGTGATTTATGTGGTAGAGCACGTCCCATGAGCTGAAGAGCTCAGGGACAGCGCCCAGGCCCAGAGTTCAAGACCCACGACCGACATAAATAAATAATTTAATTAATTAAAAAAAAAAACAAAAAACTTGCCGGGCGCTGGTGGCTCACGCCTGTAATCCTAGCTACTCAGGAGGCTGAGATCTGAGGATCGCGGTTCAAAGCCACCCCGGGCAGGAGAGACCGTGAGACTCCTGTCTCCAATAAACCACCAGAAAACCGGAAGTGGCGCTGAAGCTCAAGTGGTAGAGCGCTCGCCTTG